AACTTTGACAAGGACCAAATCATTATTGTCAAATGACTAGGTTATGCATCTCGGAAACAGCAAGGCTTGAGAATGCAGCAGTGAATATGTATTGTCAATGGTTCGAGGAGGGACAAACCAAGAACCAGTGACAGGGTGTTTGGGATCTGCTGGAACAAGTCTGAACTGCAACAACTCCAACGTCCAACCTCCAGGACTTAAAGGATCTGCTGCAGATGTTTTGAGTCTGAAACCACTATTGCGGCCTGTATGCTGTTTTGACAGCTACAGATGGGTCAGCATATTAGGCCAAGGCTCATAATGTTTTGGGTCTTCAATGGAAATCGCCATGGTAGTATTCTGTTGTGCCTTCTTTTTTTCCTTTTTGTTTTTCCTTGGTTCTTTTTGTCTGGCTTTTGGAAATACCAATAGTGTTAAGGAAATTTTGTGCATCTTTAAGTTAAGCTGAATTGCTTTACTCCTTTACAACAGGAGGTGCTGCAGAGCTGTCTGGGCTTATTGAAGTTGGTGATGAGGTTCTATCAATCAACGGCTGTTCTCTGGAGGGCCTGATGCACCATGATGCCTGGAAAATGATCAAAACCACAAATGAAGGGCCCAACCAACTCCTCATACGGAAGGCGAGTAACCTGACCGTGAACAAAGAAATACAAACCTCCTGTAAAGGTGCACTGTGACAACACCCTTGAAATCAGGGCATGGATGAGCAATACAATTAAGGACAAGCATTTACAAATTTTGATTGATGGACTTTGTTTGAGATTTTGTGCTTTGTCTTGTTACGTATGTTTGTACTAAATAGGTCAAGTGGGATTGACAACTAACTATTGTGGTATACAACGCTGAATTCTGATTAATTTCAGATGGGAAGTGCAGTTTGTTTACAATAAATTAACTTTGAAAGAGTGAAAAAAACTATGTCTGTTTTTTTTTGTGTTTTTTTTTACTTTTAATCAAGTCACTACGTGAAAAGTGTACAGCTGGTTGTGGTTATAGCTTTCTTACTATCATATGGAGAAATGGCAAAGTATTCAACAAAGTATAAGTGTTTCCACTGTAGTCTCTCAAACAGCAGCAGCCCTAGTGGTGAAAATTGGTTCTGTGGAGTCACATCAGTAATGTAAACTGCCACTGGTTCTCCAAAAGGGAGATTTGCTTATCAAACACATTTGAATAATGGCAGCAGGAGGTGTCAGCCAAAAAATAGAACTGAAGGAATGCACTTCAGTGACATGGAAATGGTTTCTTTTTGAAAAATTTGACATCAAAAGGCCACTTTGCTGTGTAAAGTTTGTAAAAATATCACACCTGATGCAATAGCACACACTGGAATGGGAACAATGTTTGTTGAAGCTATAGATGCCAGCTCCTGGTCCAGTTCCACAAGCAGAGAAAAAAAGCAGCTAACATTAGCTGTCTCACTTTCCAGCAGGGACGTGCTCAGGGCATGGCTCAGGCCCTTTTTTCAGGTTTGAGCAACTGCCCCTAAAAAATCCTGAGCACGTCCCTGCATACATATATTCTTTATCTCACATATATATGTATGTGAGAGCAAGAATATATGTATGTGGGAGTAAGAATGCATGTATGTGAAGTGTGAGAATGAACTATGGCCTATACAGCCCCTCACAGGTGGAAGAAAGCCACAGACGTGTTGCCGCTTTCTATTGTGAAAGAGACAAGCAGCTGTTCCTAGTGTTTTTCTTTACATGTACAATCTTAAAATAGTTCTTCAGATAGCCTTGCACATGTAAACCTTTTCATGTCAGAGGAAAACAGATCATGAATCGTACCTAAGATTGAAAAAGGAAAAATGTCAGTTCAATTTTTTTTCCCATAATAGCCAGGCCAAAATGTATCTTACAAACAGCTGAAAGCCCACAACAATATCTAAAGCTATCACTCCACATTGCTCTATTTGTTATTTGTAGAGCTGTGATCACATATTTAAATTGTTGAAATGAGGTTTTATAAAACAACATTTTCGATCAGAGCTGCAGCTCTGGTGACTTTGTATGTAAGTGTCCCTTCAATTCAGTTTAGTTCCGTTTTGTTTATATAGCGCCAATTTACAACATAAGTCATCTAAAGGCCCGTCACATGTAAAGCGAAGACCTAACTACATTATATTATAAAGAGAAACACAATAAATCCAACAACTCCATTCGAGCAGCTCTCTGTCAACTGAGGGAGGTAAAAGTTCCCCTTTGACAGAAAGAAAAACTCCATCAGAACAGATGTCTGTCTGCGTTTAATATTTGGGGTGAGGGTGAAGGAGAGAGAAGGAGGAATAGCAGGCAGAAATCAGACAAGCAATCCATAAGAGAACAATAAACACTGGAAAAGTTGGTGAGGCCAGTAATTGCAGGTCAGAAATGTGCCGCTCTGGAGCTGAATATACCTGCGGCTAATAAAACACAATCACCAGAGGAGATACGAAATGAGGTCAGTGACATACACAATGGAAGATAAATGTATGAAAAATAAAGAAGATGAGTGTGCGGGAGAGGTCCTCAGTGCATCATAGCATGTTCCCCACCAGCTTAGACCTGGGATGGTTCAGGGTTAAATGAGCTAGCTTTAACTGTAAACTTTGTCAAAAGTAAAGTTTTAAGTCTCACCTTAAAAGTAGAGAGGGTGTCTCCCTCCAGAACCCAAACTGGGAACTGATTCCACAACAGAGGAGCTGATAACTGAAGGTTCTGCCTCCCATTCTACTTATGGAAACTCTGGAGCCACAAGTAAACCAGTGACATGCCGGCGTTCCAAGAAGTACATCACCTCCAAAAATTGTAATTGTGGTTTCCTGCAGATTGCATTAAATAAGGTTAGCCCATGGAAGGGATGATGTAGTGTTGCATCAGCTATATAAGCACACTCTGCAAAAAGTGTAGTTGTTCCTTCCTTGTGTCAGGATGACGCCAGGTGAACTTTTCATTTTGTTTTCCATTTAAAATGACAAAGTGAAGCAACTTGACAGCTTCTAAAGACATTTCGGCTGTAAATGTATAAATGTTGGTTTACTAACATGGTTGTTTAGAGGTGACAAATGCTCCTTTAGGAATATTAGAAGACACATGTAATATTAGTTTGCCTTAACAATGAATAAATATCCTTTGTTTATATCTCTGTTTGTGAGTGAGTTGATCAGGCAACATACCATCATGAAAAGGGTTAGAGTAGGAAATTAATGGTATGTCCCTGTTTCAGCACAAGAGAAAAGAGTTTATGGAGCGATGGCTTCAGGATGAACACAGTCTAACGTTGACAAGTTACACTCAAATATAGGATAATGTAACTTCAAACACATCTACATCAATCATAAAATGTTCCATTATTATAAGCTAAATTGTGAAATACAAGAATTCTGGTGAGAATTAACAATAGAGATGACAAATCAAAATGATTCTAAATACACTGTTGCCCATAAAGTTGGAATAAAATATCTTTTACATCTTCTCATGAAATGACTGACAATGCGATTTATTCTTGATATATAAAGTGTATATCTTCTCAAACCTTTAGTGATATCACAATATACATACAATCCATATATCCATCCATTATCTATACACCGCTTAATCCTCTGTAGAGTAGCAGGGGGCTGGAGCCTATTCCAGCAGACTCAGGATGAAGGCAGGTTCACTTGGACAGGTAACCAGTCTATCACAGGGCGACACAGAGAGACAACCAAGCACATTCACACCTACGGACAATTTAGAACCACCAATTAACCTCAGCGTGTTTCTGGACTGGAAGCCGGATAACCTAGAGAGAACCCACGCTGCACAGGGAGAACATGGCGATTCAAAATAGAAAGATCCTGGGTGTCCTCAGGAACTGGGGATCTTCTAGCTGTGAGGCGATGGTGCTAACCACCAAGCCACCTGCAGCCCAATACAATACATATCACAGTAAAATGTTTAATCATGATCTAATTTAGTATTTAATATGCATGAATTAGTGACAATATTCCCTTTAAATGGTATGAATCACCTGTGGAGGTAACTATCAAAAGAAATGATCAATATTATAAACAAAACTTTTACACATTCCATCCACTGAAAATGATTCACTTGTGAGGAAATGTTTTTTTGTTCCTTTATCAAATTTAGATATTGCAATATATGAAAGAGGTTCGGCCCACGGACTACATTACATACAATGGTTAGAACAGGCATATAAGGAAAGAGATGATGACTTGGCCCTTTCTGTTATTGTTTTTGTTTCATTTACAGCACAGCATTTGGAGGTTCTTACAACAAGGTGCCTGTGCTTTACAGTGCCGTGAAAATGTATTTGGCCCCTTCTCAAATTATTATTATTTTTTTTTTTTTTTTTTGCAGATTTTTCCCTCTTTAATGTTTAGGATCATCAAACAAATGTAAAGATCAGACAAAGATAATCCAAGTAAACACAAAAGCTACCTGGCCCTGTGTGAAAAAGTGATTGTAATTGCCCCCTAAACCTAATAACTGGTTAGGCCACCCTCAGCAGCAACAGCTGAAATCAAACTTTTTCTAGAACTGGCAATGAGTCTTTCACATCTCTGTGGAGATATTTTGGGCCACTCTTAAACACAAATTATATGCTATTGAACAAAATTAAGAAACGGCAAGCAACATTTTTTAGACACATCATAAGGAAAGAGACCCTGGAATATATTGTCACAACTGGAAAAATTAATGGGATAAGAGAACGAGGCAGACAGAATGAAAAGGATAGATGGGCTAACATCATGGCTACACATGGAACGGGCAACAGTAACAATTCAGAAAGCAAAACATGGGATTAGATGGAGAGAAATGATCACCTACGCTGAATGGCATGGCACTTGATTGATTGATTGATTGATTGATTGTTTTAATTCAGCAACAGCTGAAATAAAGCCTTTTCTATAACTGGCAGTGAGTCTGTCACATCTCTGTGGAGATATTTTGGCCCACTCGTCTTTACAGAATTGTTTAAATTCAGCAACACTGGAGGGTTTTCCAACATGAACAGCCTTTTTACGGTCATGTCACAGCATTTCAGTCAGATTCAAGTCCAGACTTTGACTAAGCCACTCCAAAAGCTTCACTTAGTTTTATTTTTTTAAAGCCATTCAGAAGTCGACTTGCTGGTATGTTTTGAATCGTTGTCCTGCTGCAGAAAGCAAGTGTGCTTCAGCTTGAGGTCACCAACCGATGGCCGAACATTCTCCTTCAGGATTTTCTGGTAGAGAGTAGCATTCATGGTTCCATCAATCCCAGCAAGTTGTCCAGGTCCTGAAGCAGCAAAGCAGCCCCCGACCATCACACTACCACCACCATGTTTGACTGTTGCTATGATGTTCTTTTTCTGAAATGCTGTTACTTTTACGCCAGATGTAACGAGACACACATCGTCCAAAAAGTTCAACTTTGGTCTTGTCAGTCCATAGAATATTCCCCCAGTCATTGCTGTGCTCTTGGGGTCATTTTGGTAGGCCGGTCACTTCTGGGAAGGTTCATCGCTGTTCCATGTTTTCTCCATTTGTGGATAATGGCTCTCACCTTGGTTCGCTGGAGTCGTAAAGCTTTAGAAACGGCTTTGCAACCCTTTCCAGACTGAAAGATGTCACTTATTTCTCATCATGTTCTTGAATTTCTTTGGATTGCTGCATTTTGTTGCAGCTTTTTGAGATCTTTTGGCTGACTTCATTTTGTCAGACAGATTCAATTTAAGTGATTTTTTGACGGTACAGATCTGGGGGTAGCCAGGCTTGGCTGGTCAGTGAAATTCAACTTTGCTTTCCCAAAAATGTGATCAGCACAGTTAATTCATGATTTAGCATGGGGGGGAGGGGGAGGCAATTACTTTTTCACACAGGGCAAGGTGGGTTTGGATAGCTTTTTTCCCTTTCAACATTAAATTTTTTTTTAAAAACTGCATTT